TTCGTTGAAAGTAATCCTGAATTCAAATATCATAGACACGACAATTGTTATGCATCCTTATATTACCATGAATTGATGATGACCTTTCAAATACATCGATTCATATTCAAAAGGAAAGTAATTCTCTCCCTCAATGAATTGTCGTTCAAAAGAAGGCAGCTATCAAATATTGGGTACAAAAATGCAAGATCCACGGTAAATTAATTGGGCACAAACCACATATTACAAAACCAGGATGATTTTTGGCATGCTTGAAAAGAGAAGGGCCAAAGTTGGATAAAATATTTTGGGATGGTTGAAGATTCTTGGACACCTTTTTTCTTTTCAAGTAGTTTTGTAGAAACAAGTTCTACACTTGGGCTTTTATCGGTTATATTTTAAGGCAAGTTCTACACCGAGCTTGTATCGATTATATTTTGTTATGAAAAAAGTAAAATTACTCTATGCAATTGTAAGATGGTGCAAGATCGGTGTCCTTGTCATAAATTTGACAACATTAAATTGGAAAATATGACCTTTTTCACGCTGTGATCAATTGCAACTAATTTTGATATTGTAGTACACGACAGGGTTACCTTGTGAAACAGTGGAAATATCCCTATATATTTGAATTTCACCCTCACGCTATAGATTTTTTTATATGGTTTATTGGCAACAATTCAGATAAGATTTTCCGTTGTGGAAGACAAATTTTCTGATTGTATAGGGAAGCATTGCACAAGTTCTCTTTCATTGTTTTTTTGTGTGTAGATAAAGCCTGGCTTGTACTTGATGAAGTGCGAGAAATGATGCAAAAATTTGCACAAAGCAACCGCTGAATGTAATTCAAACCAGCACCTTTGTTGTATACTACCAAACATCAAATGCAAATTAACATCTATCTCATGGTTTGGCTACAAATGCCACCAAGCATAAGCTCAACTTATAAGTTTGTAACCCTAATTTCATCGATTGAATCTTCACCTACATTCATAACACTTTTTACCATACATAACCAGCACTGTTTTACAAACAACCCTAAAACCTTCATCCTGAAGCCTGATAACTAGCGGCAGATGCAAGGTCCATAGGATCGAGGAACACAACTACAGCTACAAGCATACAACAAAGCCCGGTAACTCAACTACAGCTACAATCGTACAACAAAGCCCTCAGGTGGGAAGTTCTAGTAGTCCACAGCATGACAGACAACGTACTCGTTTACAAAGACAATAACCAAGACAATATGATAACCCAGGGCATTAGATAGCATCATACAACCCTAAACCCCCTCTATAAAAAACTACATCAAAACCTAAGTTTTCTCTTACTCATCAAGATCCTAGAACCCTGACAAAACTGGCAACCTGAAACATAACTTCTAATCAATCACTACCACTAAAAGGCCTTGATGTTTCTAATCTAATGTTCTAAAACTGATCTCTCTGAGGTATTTAGGAATTATTTGGATTCGACACCCACACCAAATTTCCGTACTTGCTAGCAACATAATGCATTCATCCCTCTAATACTCTTTCCCCATTGTTAATTGTGAATCAACAGCTGAGAAGTAAAAGAAGATAAACAATTATACACATGTTCATTTGCTAACAATTAAACAAGTAAATAACATACTCCAACGCAGTAGCACCTATTTAGATGACAGAAGACACTCCAATCCAGTACATATGTGAAAAACACAGCTCTTCTGCAGGGCAGTAAGAAACAAACCCTTTCTTTTTTCCTAGCAGTGATGAAAAGTAAATACAGTTAAGACA